TTTTTTGACGGCAGCAGAGTCGCCGGACAATAGAAACCTATTGGGCGGAGCTAGCTGTCACTGCTAGCTCCGCACAATCGTTTTCTATTTACTTTTTTTTAAACTATTTTTCTGTTCCGCTCGGTCCCTCTGCTGTTTGGCATCTATAAGAATAGGCCGAACAGCAGTGAGTAGCCTGCCGGAGGTTCGGCTCAGCCGATCCAGATGTTGGATCGGCTGAGTCGAACTCCTTCTGCACACCCGAAGCCATGTGAAGCAAGCCAATGTACGGCTGATTTCAGCTGATATGCGGCTGAAATCAGCCGTACCAGCCTGAAGTGAATAGCCGAACAGCTCACTTCACTTCGGCTCACTTCACTTCAGGTCGGTCATTCACACGGCTGCCTACAGCAGCTTAGTGAATAGACCCCTATGCTATTCAGCCATATGTTACCCTTATGGAATCACAGAGACTTTGATGTGAATATTCCATATTTGTGCAGCTTTCATAATAAGACTCTAGTGTATGCATGTTCTTTACCATCTTGAACCCGTTTGGTATGATTGCTTCTAACTTTGCACCTGTTTAGTAAACTTCAAGTTACAGTCACTTCCTGTCTGATCTTTCACCTGATTACTTATTCTGTGAAATGTGTACTGCAAAAGCCTGTATAGGCATTATAGAACTAGGTAGCTGGTAAATACTGTGGCTTCTTCCACCATTAAGGAACTTTGTTGTAACTCATTTGGGTTTTAGGCTGCTGAGGTCGACCTGAAAACTGGAGGGTATTGCAACCTCTAATATATCCCTGTAGCTTCTAATTGATTGTAAGTTTTACAAAAAAATATCTTTTCAGCTTTGGATAGAACAGGGAAGCTGACCCTTGTCAGGTTTATTTTTTTGATGTCTATGTCCAGTTGGGGAGATTTTCCTTTCCTGTCTTGGAGACACAACAGAGAGAAAGAGGAAATTGCCACAGAGTGATAGGAATTTGGCGATAGGAAATAGGAGTTGTTACCGGAACAAGTGTCAGCTGTGAAATTTTAGATCTCCATGGTTTTCTGTCTTGGTGACAGTGGTCACCAGGACACATAGAGAGTAGGGATGCACCGGTAACGATACTAGTATCGGTGCTGATACTGAGTATTTGGGTGAGTACTCGTACTTGCCCAAATGCTCCGATATCTTCCCCGATACCTGAACTTCCGGTCAGAGGAAGGGAAACATAGAGCTGGTCTCCCAGGCAATCAGAAAGGCGGGCTGCGAATAATGACCTGCCTCCCAGTTCCTGATTGGCCGGGGAGCTGCCACCATGCTGATTGGCTGGAAAGCCGGCTTCCCGGCCAATCAGTATCGAACCGACTGAACAGCCGACTGCTTGCTGATTGGCTGTGAAGCCATCTCAATGCTGATTGGCTTTGAAGCCAGTTTCCCAGCCAATCACAATTGAGCCGGCCAAACAACATGGAGCCGGCTTCCCAGCCAATCAGGAAGCAGGCGGTATGTCATTACCCGCTGTCCGGCTTTCTGATTGCCTGGGAAGCCGGCTCCATGCCAGCGGAGGCACTGATACCGGTACTTGGGAATTGGCGAGTACCGAAAGCAAAATATCATTACTTGTACTGGATACAGAAAAAACAGTATCGCTGGATCCCTAATAGAGAGGATACATTTCCCAAGGACACAGCAATAAAACCTTGCAGGGATTCTAACCCTTTCTCACTCTATGCGGAAAAAAAAGTTTGTAAGCTATTTTGATAAAAATGGAATAAAACTTTAACAATCTACTTAGGAAAATATTTTTAAACCACGTAGTAAATTTTATTTACATGGCTTTAATGGTATTGTTGATGAACATGTTTTCATTGCCTGCTGCTAATGAAATGTACATGTGTTTTTATTGTAGGCATCTGGCCCTCGGAAGAAGTACTGGCTTACTACTGTCTCAAACACAAAGACATGTTCTGGTAAGGAAATAAAAATACATGTAGGTTGGCTATGATTGAAATCACCATAATATCCATGCATGGAAATAGAGTGCAAGGCGACAACATGTTGCTCTTGACGAAGATTGCCGAATGGCCTGTAGGTACTAATATTGCACAGCAAGCTTTGCCATCTGTCAAAGCCTTCTGATTTCCACTTCAGGCCTTTTATTTCACTTTGATTTTTTGGGAAACAAAAGTGAGTCTTCAGTCAATCAATGTGTATTGTGAAGGTCAGATAGAATAACAGGCATTTTGTAAACTCTCTTATGCCATTAGAATTATTGAGCATTATGCAATACAAAAATACCATGTCATTTAGCTGGGGTGCCAGGCAGTGCCAATATCAGCAGACTATGTATTTTTTTTACTTTTAATACCCGGTGCTGTGTCATTGCTGAAGCAAATTTAAATGTAAAAGGCCAGGTGTACTACCAACTACTGGTGAGAAGCAAACAGTAAACCCACTGGAAATACTCAACAGTCACACAGGACATAAAGATAACAGACCTGATATATGCAGCAAGTACCTATCTTGAGTCACCTATGTAAATTCTGTTTGATGGTTCGGTGACTTTTTTAACATTTTTATTTACTTGCTGTGCAATTCTATGAAATTGGTAGTTCATATACAGATTTTTCCTTCTAGTGGTTGCAGTCAACATCCCTAGTCAACAACTGAAATAAATTAATTGATTCACACCAAAATCAGACCTAAAACATAAGTCAGCAGTGGTCCGTTTCCTTGCAATTTCATCCTCCATTGACTTCTGTTCCTGTCCGCTGCGTTACATTCTTTTAAAATATATTTTTTCTGTTTTGCCAACCTTTATTTTAATTAACATGTTCTGAATAGACAAACGAATGCGTATTTTTTTTTCTCACTTCCGTTCCGTTGCATTCCCTTTCGTTTTTGACACGTTTCATTACATTGCGTTGTGTGAACTGGTCCCATGCACACCCATTCATTTTTTGGGCTACCTTCCATTTGCAAACGTTGACATCCATTAAAAAAAGGATCGCAGCAGATCTGTAGTGAATGGGGCATAACTATTTCATTGTGTCTAAACTTGACCATCGACACATCTGCCACCAGGTCCTTAAACATGAACAAACCAACAACAGCACCACCACTCGGATCAATATATAACTAGCAAAAGGAAAGGTGTATAGGGGCAGGGCAATTTACAGAATGGTACAAACATTTCACAGCGTAATCACCAGCTAAGCAGCACATAAAGCTTAACTAACCTTTTCTTGCCTGCATTCTATGTATTAAGGTTTCCTGGCGCAATGCCCTGTGCCGAGGACACCTTAATAAACTTTCTCCTTTATAAGAGCCAGCAGCTGACACTTCGCACGGCTGCTGGCTCCCAATCCCCACTGAAGATGGAGAATCTTTCTGCTGGCCCCTATGTCACTACTGTAGTCTACAGCGACCCAGGGGCCACAAGATGGAACCACAACACTCCAGAAAGTGTGCTGTTTGAAGTCAATCCTTCTACAGCCATCGTTCCTGAAGGGATCGAAGTTCAGCCGCACAGACACCAAGACCAGTATGTACAATTATGTTTTCTTTACAGGGGTAATTGTAGTTTTATTCCTCAATTTAGTGGAACCAAAAAACAAACGTGAGGGCGCAAGGCTAGAGGGACTATGAAGCTAATTAAAACAAAGTGAGGGAAGCAAGAGGAGATGGAACACTTACTTTTAAGTGGGTCTCGGGACCGGATGAATGTAGAACAGTGGAGGAGATCGTGGAGTCCAACGTGTGCAATCAGTGAAGGCTAGTGTGTTGCCTCGGGTGGCTCATCCCAGGGAAATGAGAAGAGAGGGGTGGACAGGGGTGGACAGGGGTGCAGGTGATGGCACACACAATGTGTCCGTGTCCCCGCTGAAGCAATGTAAAGTGCCGGTGATGTGAGGACTGACGTCAGGCTGGGCTGCAGCTGCGGGTGGAGGAACTCGAGCTGTGAGATGGACGTGACTGGGCCAGTGCCCGTGCCGTGGTGATGATATAGGATGGTGAATCGGCCGGGATAGTGGTAAGGTGAGGAGGGATCAGGTTGGTAAGGTGGTGGGTGAATGCTCGGGAGCAACGCGTTTCGAGGATGTTACCTCTTTGTCAAGCTCATTAGGAATGATCCCTCCTCACCTTACCACTATCCCGGCCGATTCACCATCCTATATCATCACCACGGCACGGGCACTGGCCCAGTCACGTCCATCTCACAGCTCGAGTTCCTCCACCCGCAGCTGCAGCCAAGCCTGACGTCAGTCCTCACATCACCTGCACTTTACATTGCTTCAGCGGGGACACGTACACATTGTGTGTGCCATCACCTGCACCCCTGTCCACCCCTCTCTTCTCATTTCCCTGGGATGAGCCACCCGAGGCAACACACTAGCCTTCACTGATTGCACACGTTGGACTCCACGATCTCCTCCACTGTTCTACATCCATCCGGTCCCGAGACCCACTTAAAAGTAAGTGTTCCATCTCCTCTTGCTTCCCTCACTTTGTTTTAATTAGCTTCATAGTCCCTCTAGCCTTGCGCCCTCACGTTTGTTTTTTGGTTCCACAAGTGCAGGCACTCCTCCTGTCTCCCAGGGCTGCAGGCGAGGTAGAGCTATAGTATCCCATTCCCCTGGCCCAATCCGAGAGCGCTGTCCGTACTATTCTTATGTGCTTTTCCTCAATTTAGTGACATTGTTGCTTATAAAAGGACCAGAGTCTTACAATAAAATCAATTTAGAACATGTAAGAAGTGAATTATGGGAATAGTGTTAGTGAATTTTTCTTTACATTCATAAGGGATTATTTTTACACTTTTTCTCAGGACATCAAAGTTTCCAAGTGAGTTATTAAAGCAAACCTTTCAGCCTCTTCAATCATTTAAAAGTCCTGACTGATTGTGTCTGCAGCATCTCTGCTATTACCTGTATTAACCAGAAAATATTTGCCTGTGTGCCTCTCTGATTTAGTTTTTACACTAGAGGGCTTTCTTTACTTGATATCAAAGCTAAGCCAACTGCTACTTCCCTGCCAAAAGAGAACACTTCAGTGGCTGTTAAAGCAATTATAAACCCTAACTGGATGACATTTAGTTTTCTAACTCACTGTATATCAAACAATAAACAATTTTTGTATAGAAGAACTCCAGGAATTTAAAAAATGTACCCTTGTAGTGGGGCTATTGCTTGTTTTATCTAGGGGAGTCAAATAAAGCAGATATCCTCACCTGATCTTCCGTCCCCCAGTGGTCAGCGCTCAACTCTATCCCCCTCCACTCCACCTGGGAAATGTGCCTCGGTGTCCTCATGTCTAATACAAGTCAATGTACCTGCATTAGGCATAATGATGTCAGCGCTCCTTAGATTGCTGGAGTCCGGGGGAGAAGAGGCTGTGGGGACCGGGCTAGCAGCCCGACGGGACCGTGGATCCAGGTGGGTATATCTTTATTATCTTAGCCCCTAGACCAAAACAAGCACTTAACCTTTGCAGGACATAGGGTAGCCTTGCTACAAGGGAAGTTTTTAAAATTCCTTGAGTTCATCTTTAAAATACTTGTTTTCATTTTTTTTCCATCCTTTGTTGCTTATAAATCTAAATACATTCCATCAATGGCTGCATGGCTGATGGTAACAACAGTGGACCATATTTGTGTAATGTGTGCTGAAATGACCACTCGTCTCCATTGGAAGCCCATGTGACAGGGTGACAATGCAGATACATGAAGGGGAGACAGGTATAGAGCGTTGTCACACTATAACAAGAAGTGCCTCAACAAGGACCTTCATGCCTCATGGCAGGATCACCAGGCATTCTTTTTTTTATCATAAATCTTTATTAAAGAGGAAGATAGTAGGACTCCAATAGATCATATAATACAAAAATCAAATGGCAACACCATCCAAAACAGTGCAGGCATGCTTTGATGACTAGAAGTAATCCAAAAATCACCAGGCATTATTTAACATTTGAAAGCTTATATGAGTTTAGTGATTGGGTTTACATATACTTTTAAAGGGCATTATAAATGGTCAGGGTCCAGGCAGCTGAGCAGGGCTTTGGCAAAGAAGTCAGGAAGGTCAAATCCCTAGTATCAAAGTGAAACCAAATCGGAAAGGTGCACAGAAGAGGATATTCTGGCTAGGGAGGACACCTTGTGGCACACACTTTGTCAGAACTTTTAGTTTTAAATTATCAAACAATGGCCAATAGTTTTAATTGTGACTTCTTTCACAGCACAAAGTTATCTTTAGTGGGAAAAAAACCCCAATAAACCCAGCCTTGCTGAATCAGTTTACAGCAATTTAACTCTGTACAAGTGCAAAACGTTCTGTGTTTGCAGGAGCCAGAAGAGAATTAATAATGCAATCTTCCGTTAACAATGACATTTCGCTACTTTAGCAAGTTTCAGTTTTAATAGAGAGTGCTATTGACAAAAGAACGAGTGAGTGGAGGAAAAAAAAAAAAAGGATCCTTCTCAGATTTTTTAGCTCAGCGGTGGCAGTGTTGCAGAAAACACTAATGAGGGAACCCCCTACTGGTTTGCCTGCTTTGTGACTTTTCTTTATCATAATCATTTTTAAAACGCAAAACAACATGAGGTCGCCTGGTAGTGTCCCCGCAACTTCCTGTTAACTTTTATTTTTATTTTCCCTTCGTTATGCCTGCTACAGGTGACAATTTGTAATGTGTGTATGTATATAAATGTACTGTATATGTATGTCTGCCAATTTTCTTCTCATTTGTTAGGCTTCCTTTCTGTTTTGCAGGGATCTTGCTGTGTGTGAGCTAGGGGGTGGTATGACATGCATGGCTGGTCTCATGGTAAGTCTTTTCTCAATTCCAGTTCCATTCACAGGCTGGAACAAAAGGCGAGAACGGTTCCAGTGCCTCCAACATGCTGGGTCAGGGAACTGTCAACAGCATCAGTTGCGGTCAAGCTGCAGTCTTGAGAGAACTTCCCTGGCTGCCCTGTATTTCCTTCCGTATTGATTTTATGGTTGCCTCGGAGAGCAAAAAAAACGCTTTTCCTTGAGTGTAGTCAATATCTCTTGTTGTGACATTCCAATCCACAATATGCTACGTCTTGCCGCAGCTGAACCTTTTTTTTTTCTCCCCCCTCCCTCCAGATTACAGTCCCATTTGCTAAAATACAGGAATAGCTTGCAAATCACAGTTGGAGCACTATGATATAGCTGCTAATGTTTTGCCTGCGTTATTACACCAACAAACATGATCCAGAGCTCTCCGTAATTACATTCTTTTGAGCCGGGATAGCCATTCAGAGGCGTCGGTGACCATTCTTCGGCCGGCAAGTCGTGCATTCAGCAGATATTATGTCGCAGCTCAGTGCGTTCGACAAGTTTCTGTGTCTCTGCAAATAAAGGCATATTGTTACACTGATTGGCATTTGACAAACCTGTCGCATTTATACAATGTGTTGAGGTTACAGCCCAATGCGTGAGCATGTCAAGCTCACAAAAAAAAAAAAAAAATTACCCTTACAAAGCCATCAGCCGGCAATACAAAGTTATATGAAGGGCATCCAGGCAGCCAGACAGAAAGAGGCTGAAAGGCAGAATGACAGGCCTTGTGTGATGGTTCCACTAGATAAACAGATCCCGCAAATGAAAGCCTCTCGGAATACCATCATCCGCTGTCACAATGCAATTACCCAACAGAATGATAGCAAGATAGAGACTCCCGCAAATGGAAAGATAAAAGTATTGACTGATTTGATTGAATGATTAAAATAATGCAGACATAAAATGAAAAAGATTGAAGATTGTTACGGAGAAAGAAGATGGTGAAGAAGCATGATACTGAAAGCTTGTCAAACCTGCCTCCACTATTCCATGCAGACGCTTAACGTTCCATCATTTGCCCCTGTCTCTCTTCGTGCCTTTTCAGGTCGCAGTCTCTGCAGAAGCCAAAGAGGTCCTGTTGACGGACGGCAACGAGAAGGCTATTAAAAGTATCCTTATTAAAAGTACAGATGAGCTGGTATATACTGTAAGGGCAGTAACAGTTAAAACAATTACATCAGAAATACAGTATGCACTGTTTGCATTAGTTCAAGTATATGTAAACCCAATCACTAAAATCTCATACTGTATGAGCTTTAACATTGTAATGTCATTTTAAAAGTGATTTTCAATATTTTTAAATCTGCTGCATTTATTTAAATAATACCTGGAGATCTTGCCATGGAAGTCTTTGCTCAGACACTTCCTGTTACGGGGTGACAACGCTCTCTCTATCTCCCAATTGTGCTCCCGCATGGTCACCCTATCACACCGGCTTCCAATGGAGACTACAAGTGGCTATTTTAGCACACGTTACACGAGACGAGTATGGTCTTCTGTTGTCACCATTAGGACAGAAAATCACAATAGCCGTGGCATTGCTTTATTATATTTAATTCCCATAGGCATGATGGAGGGGAATCTCATTATCCTTGCATGTCACTTACTGAACAGTTAACCTCTTCACGACCCATGACAGGATAATTCCGTCATGGATCCTCAAGGGGTTAAACAGACTCCCGCCGGGACTCTTCATACTTGTAGAGCCAGCAGCTGGCTTTACAGTAGAAGCTATTCTGGCAACTCAGCTGTCGCCAAATCGCTTCTGTGATCTGGTGAATTGGCCGCCCCGCCCGACACCCTCGCCGTGTTTCCCAGGCTCCGCTGCCCCTTCTACGGTATCGGCATCTCGGGTGTCGGCAGGAATTTGGCGAAGAGAGCAGCGAATGTCTGTTCACCGATCTCCTCCCCTTTCTATGGGGCCGGGAGCGACGTGTATTGCATCACTTCCGGTTCCTGAGCTGTCATTGCTGGGCTCCTGAAGCCCAGCAATAAGCTATTGAAGTGCAATCTGCACTTCAATAACTTATTTCAAGTATAAAAGTGATACTAGGGGTCTTTTGGACCCCCGGCATCACCTTAAAGTGTACTTGTCACGACCAATATGCTATCACATGGGGGGCTTGTAAGCCCCCCATGTGATAGCAGTTAGAGTAAAGTTAAAAAAAAAAGTTCTAAAAAATAGAATTAAATGTAAAAATAATAAAACCTTTTTTTAAAGTCCCCCGCCCGCGAGCACGCGCGTCGTCACATAAACACACGTTGGCTGCGCCTACGTAAGAAAACGACGATTGCACTACACATGTTGGGTATTGCCGCACACGCCAGAGTAGGAGCACTAATTCTAGGGCCATGATTTACGCGCATCTCTAAACTGGTGACCTGTAGGGGCCTTTAAAGCGTTGTGTATGGACTTTTTGGGGTACTGAATTTTGTTGCAGTTTCCCTGATGCACACAATTTTTAACCTGGGGATGTTGAGTATCTCTTTACTCGTTGTAACCTCATCTTTTATATGTTACCAAAAAAAGGTTTTATATAGTGTTTGGGGCACTAAATTTAACTGAAGTGCATTTTTCACAAAATGTTTGGGTTTGATAATAAGTTGCGCTAATGTCGTACAACATAAAAATTTGCAACTACCCCCATTTTATTCTGTAGGGTCTTGGCTTTCAGAAAATATATAATGTTTGGGGGTTTTAAGTAATTTTCAGGCCTAAATGTGGATTATAACATGTAAACAAAAAATGAAAAAAAGGTATTTGTCCTTAAGGGGTTAAGATCAATATTACATAGCAAATCTATCAACACTTTATCCATTAGGTGCTACAACTGGTATACACAAGAAAGGAAAAGTGTATGTAAATAAAAACTTTGTTGAGGGGGAAGGGTTAGAGACCCCCTGTTGTATTTTTTGCCGGCTGTGATCCCTTAGGTCAGATTGGTCAGGAAAAAGCCAAAAGTCTTAATTGTTACTGAAACAAGAATAAAGGTGAGATTTTACAATCTGGTGACAAGTCTAAGAGACGGTTTCCCTCACTTTATAGAGATTTCCTCTCATTTTATTCTGCATTTACAAGACAGGAAGTATAGGGAAATCACTTTAATGGAATACAGTGGTTAACAAAAAAGACAAGGGTTTTAACCTTTCCTTACTAAATACAAAACTAAAAAAATAATACATTTTGGCTCTAGATCAGGGGTCTCAAACCTCTGGCCCTCCAGCTGTGGTGGAACTACAAATCCCATGAGGGATTTGTAGTTTCACCACAGCTGGAGGGCCGGAGTTTGGCTACCCCTGGTAAAGACCGTACCTGACAATAAGGATCTGAGATCATCCTATTTCAGGGACAGAAAGAAGGTACCGTTATGAGAATTACTTTTTCTGGAAAAAAACCTAAAAACAAATATTGAATATATTGCAACTGGCCAGTACTGGTGGCTGTATTAGTTATCTTTTTTCATGCTAAGTACATTTACAGCAAGTACAGAAATGATATTGTCAGAAATGCAGTGTCCTTGCCACCAAGCTGATCCAAAAAGAAAAACAATCTTCCTTTCAAAGTATTCTCTGTAAACTAGTATTTATTTTCTCTCGTTTAATGAAGATTAAGAGAGGAAGATGTGGGGGCATGGCCAGAGTATGGCGGCATAAGGACGCATTTCTTTTCAGCTCCCGGATCCGCACTCTTTACCAAGAATCTACAGGCTTCAATACCTATCATTATAAGTGCTGCTTGAAGGAGGTAGATGGTGGATGTCCAATCGGAGGCGAAGCTGCAGAGATTTTTCAGAACTGTGCCCGGTTTTGGCCTGCACCATGCAGACGACCCTCCCCACACGCTGCCTCCAAAAACCCCTCTCCCATCTGCTTGGCTTATACTGGTCAACCCTCCACTATCTTCACCAGGCTCAGAGGCGAGATGAGACGGAGTCATACCCTGGGCTATTCATGCTACCTGGTCACCAAATGATGAGGGAGCATGGAGCCAGCTTCCCAGGCAATCAGGAAGCCATGTGGTGAGTCATTACCCACCCTCCGGCTTCCTGATTGGCTGGGAAGCCAGCTCCATGCTCCCTGGTGACGAGAGAGCATGGAGTTGGCTTCCCGGCCAATCAGGAAGCTGGGCAGCGTGTATTGACTCGCCACCCAGCTTCCTGATAACAGAAGTTTCTGTATCAGCATAGGCATCAGGAGTACTCGCTCAAATACTCTCGGCACCGGTGCAGCCCTATTTAAAACTATTTTAATATGAAAAAGGATTGGTTAAACCTCCAAGTGCCTTTTTATCCCCACCACTACTTTCCTTAAAACTGGCTTTTTAGTTAGTCAAATGCAACTATTTAGAGGTTATATAAAATGTTTAATATTTTTGGTAGGTATATTTGCAGGTATTCATAAGACTTCAGTTAAGTGAAAACTGAAGAAGAAAAAGAGACAAAAGGATTTCCATCCAAAAGTTGGACAGTCCCTCCAAATCAGGAACATTTGGGAGCTATGCAGCCTTCTAAATGCTCACAGAGTAGCTACTGTGATGACCATTGGAGCCTTGAATATTAGAACTGTGTAATGTAAATGGCGTTGGAACAAATATGCATTGTACACCTGCTGAGAGGCAACCATATGCAACATTATAGGCAGCTAAAAATGACAGGTGGTTTATGAGCCACTAAGTTGGGAATCTCTGAGTTAGTTGAGTAGAGATGCATTAACAAAAAGACATACATTATTTCTCCTTTCTCTTGATAAAGAACATGTTGTACTGCATTCAGTATTCCTCTTTCCGTTACAGATTGTTTGATTACAAAGAAAGCATTTTGTCAGCATCACTGAGTGGTTCTTTACTTTATGGCCCAAATACGGCAAATAAAAACCCCTATTGCATCAGTCTCAGTGTATAAGCTAAAACTCACAGGTGGCATTTTGCTGAAAAGGCTTACTCCATGCAGCAACATTGATTTCATTTTTGAAAATGATATTTGGTAATGAAAAAACAGTTCTTTCCCTATTTATACCTCGCTACTATTTTTATTCACACATTACTCATGTTGAATGAATGGTTGGCAGCAATTATATAATCCTTCGATTCGGAGGCCAACTGGGCGCCAGCTATAAATCCTGAGTGAATTGGTAGCGCTTAGACGAAGAAAGTCACAAATTGTTCTCCTTAACAAAGTCTTTACAGATGTGTCCCACATCATCTCAAGAAGACAAAATGCTGAGGCTTTTAAAAGCCATTCGGTGTCTACTAGGTGAGTTGTATGTATACATGCTTAAGAACCTATTTTAACTATGCCTGAATTATATTTTAGTGTTCCTGTTGAAGCTCGTCATGGACTTTGGAGGGTCAGCATGCACCAAATAACTTTCTATCTATTCTGTATGCATTAAAACAATTTGGTGATTTTGTAAACGCAATGTATATGGGGGAATCTGAGTATTTCATTTTTTTCCCTTCACAGGTTTGAGCCTTTTATTATCACATGAGCAGGCATTTCTGTGAACTAACCTAGTATCCCCAGGCACCATTCTTATCAGCTTCTTCCCTAGAGAATAAAACCACTTGCCAAAAATGGTAATGTTAGCGCTTTAAACAAGTCGTTTTCTAACATTATGCACGTAGCAGAAAATGCCAATGAGGCAAATACTGCTCATATGTTCTAAATTAATCTAATAATGCTAGGCCTGTGAAGTCACATTGAAAAAAGACTATACCAGGTTCCTAAAAATGGATGTGCATCCCGTATATGATTGTGATAGTGAGCAGGGACTGATGGGAGGATGTACTTTGTAAAACGTGTTTTATGGTAGTACTGCGCAAAATGCATTTCAATAAATCAAACTTTGATTTAAAAAAAACAAATTGTGTGACATACACCCAGATCTATACACTGAGGATATATGCTACTATTTTTATGTTGTCATAAATGAAGCATCTATATAAATGTAATTATTTAATACTATTTCTGCATGTTGTTTAATTTAGACTATTTCCAGTATTTACCTAGTTTTTGCAGACCCATAGAAACTGCTGTATAGTCTCTCAATTATAGTATGATCAGATCTTAAATAATAGATAATGCATTATGTATTGCTATATTGATATATTTTTATTGTTTGCATAATTGTTTTCACTCCTTTTGGACTTTTTATAAAAAAAACCCTTAACACTTTGAAGGTGGAAATATTTTCAGTTGTGAGACATTAAATGAGCAAATAGGCAGATATCTGTTGGTTGTACTAGTATTCACACTCCAAGTCAATACCTGGGAAAAACCCCTTTGACTGCAATTACATGTATTTTGGGTTAAATCTTTGCAAGCTTTGCACATCTAGAGCCTATATTTAAGCCCATTCTTCTTTGCAAAATTTCCCTAGCTCCTTGAGGATGGATGGAGACTGTTGGTGAACAGAAATTTTGCAATGAGTGCAGGCCGGGCCATTCTAAGACACAAAGGGTTTGTAGTTTTATTCTATTTAGGTTCATTGTCCTGTTGGAAGCAGCAGTAAAGGCCCCATTCTTGCATATCTTGCATTTTTAAACATTAATACCTCTAAGAATGTCTGGCATTTGGCTCCATCTTTCTTGCCCCCAGTCTCAGTCGCTGCCAAATAAAAGCTGCCACATCTATGCTTCCTTGTGTGGATTGTGTTTTAAGGGTTTTGAGAAGTGTTGGCTTTCCCCCTCACATAGCATTTTGCACTAAGTTTAGAAAGTTCAGTTGAAGGCTCATAAAATCAGAGAACCTTTCTGCATGTTTGCTTCTCCACCCGAAATGCAAATATAATGAAGGTATCACGTACCTGGTAGAGAACCGAGTAGTTGAAGAGGCCTCCTTTGCAACTCTTGGCCCACACCCCTGAGAGTAGAGACAGGGAGTGAGAGGACAGACAGCAGCACCGGTGCCAGAGGGTGTAGGGCACTGTGCCTGGGTAAGTCCTGAAGCTGGTCTCCCAGGAAGCAGGTCTGGATGCAGCTGGAAGGACAACAAGGAACACTGCAGGAGCAGGACGAAGTCAGGGCAGCGATGTACAAAGCAGCAGGCAAAAGAATAGTCTAGGAGCAAGCAGAGGTCAGGGGCAGGCAGCAGTCAGGCGTCGTCAAAGGAAATCCTGTGTCAAGGCAGCAGAATACTGGAACAGGCAGAAGCACAGGAACACACACAGGAGCTGAAAGACCATTCAGCAATGAACCATAGGACTGGCAGGTTAAAATAGGGCCATCTATTCAGGGAAGCTGCGTCATTTCCTTGCGTCACGTTAGCGTGTCTTTGCGCGCACCTTCCGTTGCGCGCGCATGCGCAATAGCATGTTTCCAGCAAATGCAGAAGACAGGCCTACGCTCATGCACAGAAGCACCCGCACAGCCAGGTATAGTCTTACAGAAGGTTTCTTTCTGAAATGGCCTTTTATCAGACTTCTATCAAATCTATTTTGTAAGATTCTGAGTTTTAGTTTTGCCAAGTATGATTTCTTTATTCTCAATCGTGGATTTCTGCAGTTCTGTCGCATTAACACTTCCTGTTGCTGCTTTTCTGACTAATACCCTCTATACCTTGTCATTAGGTATTGATATACTGCCTTCATGAGTCACAGTTGTGAAATATTCTTTATTAGAGGTGCACCGAAATGGAAATTTTAAAAACGAAACCGAAATAAAACCAAAATGTTAGGCCGAAACCGAAACCAAAAAGGTTTTTTATTTTTTCAAATTTTTCAAATATTTTATTTTTATTTATTTTTTATAAACTTTTTATTTTTTATATTTATTTATTTTTATTTATTAATTTATTTTTTATTACATATTTTTATTTTTTACTTTAAGGGGCTTTGGGGAAATATTAGGGGTCTAAACAGACCCCTGATATTTCCCTTTTAAAATAGAAAAAGAGATTGAGAACACAAAGTCCTCAATCTCTTTTTCTGTGTCCCCTGTTATCAATGAACAGGAATCCTCTATGAGTGTTCCTGTTCATTGCTAACATGAGAACATTGTTTGTTTACTATAACTACAATTAGGAATGAATGGGGGTGATGTAGATCACCCCCATTCCTTTATAATTGAGGATATAGTTAACACACCATGTCCTCAATTATGTACAAACACTCAGCGATCACTGATCACTGAGTGTGTGTACCTTGCTCTTCTCTCTGACACGCTGTCACAGGAGGCTGATCGAGCGGTGTAGAGAGGAGAGCTCAGCCTCCTGTGACAGCGCTGTCTCCGCCCACAAACCGCTCTGCCGGACTGTGATAGGTGGCAGAGCGGTGTGGGAGCAGACGCCGGCCGCACACTGCGCTCTCCACCGCGCTCTTTCTCTTCTCCCCGCTGGGACATAGAGCAGCGCCCAGCGGGGAATAAATAATTAACGGATGCACCGATGAATCGGCAGGAAAATTGCACTTTCGGCATTATGCCCAAAGTGCCACTTTCGGCTGATATGTTTCGGCGGCCGATATATCGGTGCTTCCCTATTCTTTATGTTTTTTATAGCCCAATTGCAATTTTAATTGAAACTAAACTAGGCCAATGGAGATTGTATTAAAGCACAGGGTTTTCAATGTCTTACATTTATTTGTAATGTAATCCAACTCCAACTCCATCCCAAACTGCACGATCCAGTATTAGACTGCAGTCTAACATGCCACCCTGCCTTGTGCTAAGTATGGCTCTCCATTGAGTAACTTTCACACTCCCTTGGGAGTCTAAAATAATAACCAAATGGAAAATATCTGTTATTATAATCATATTTAAAGTCCGAAATAACCATTAAAAAGCCAAAAGATGATACTCCCAAAAATTGCTGTGTGTAGCAACCATATAGCTAGCAGTAGATATATGCAAAAAGAAGCTGAGGGTTTAAGGTTTAGAAACACACCCGCTGTCAGATGTAGCACCCTACTTATCCAGGGAGGAGTCCTGTGCAGCCAAGCTGAATTTTATGAACAGCACTTTGCCTGAGTCAACACATCCTAAGCCCCTGTGTTCCAACTGACTTTCACTACTGCCACCTCTCCTTTCCCAGTGATCTTGTAACCTCTGTAGAATTTAGTCAGCTGTGCCTGCACAGATGTGTTAGAAGGCTGCAACCTGAGAGCTGTCCTGCAGCAAAGCCCCTTTCCCCTTGTAGGGAGCTCTGTTGAATACCTTACACTTCTTAGAACGTGCACCTTCAGCACACCTTTGCCAAATGTGCAGTCATCTTGATCCCTACTCTTCCTGTCTCCTGAGCCCCTGGTGTCAAGAAAGTGCTGGACCCATGTGGTTATTCTGTTGGTCTTTCTCATCCAATAGTGGTAAAGTAATTGGTATATGAGTAATCTGGCCAACGGATAGGCAGCTTCCACAAGACAAAGAATCTCCACAGTATCCTTGGCTTGACAGTAAACACAGTAGATAATATAGGATTTGAAGTGCCACACCAATTAAAATAGTCCCCGTTACAACTGGTGGGGTTGGATCTCCTATGCCAAGGTATCGGTATCTGTGCATCCCTACTGGTTATCCTACCAATGTGTTTTTGGACTGTAGGACTGCACCTGAAGCAAACTTCTCAGACATAGAGAGGTCATACAAGTTCCATACAGGTGGTTTACCTAGTGGGATTTGAATAGAGCATCTTAGTGCTGAAGGGTAAGAGTATTAACGTCAGTACCACCATCCTGCCAAAATTTTGCCTTACCCCATTCTGACCTGTTTATTTTATTGCTGTGATATGGCTAGAATATGGAAGAGATGTATTAAACAATAATCACAGGTTTTACAGGTTTTATTCGAATGGAATATAAAAGGTGGGTCATGTTACTGAGATGCAAGGAACTTTCTAAAACTCGTAAAAACAGCAAAATATTGTTTATACATATTTTTGCTATTTTGGTCAATAGACTTTTATGATGTAGAAAAGGTAATATTTTATTGTATGTTTGCATAGAAAATACTGTTAACAACCAAGGACGTGTACAAATTCCCCTGCATGGAACTATTTGCATATAAATAAGATGTGTTTACAGTGGGTGCACTGAAATTCAGATTGGTAATAGAGGGAACATCATTTGTCAGACATCAGCAAGATTCCACACAACTTATTGCCCACAGTACGTCTGAACGAGCCCCTTGTCATAAACCTGTACGGAAGCCATCTCTGACTCAGATGACATCCTGTGATAGTTGTATGGCTTAAATCATATGCTATATGTTATTGCATTTAGATGAAAATGAGATTGATGGCATTTTAGATTGAATTCATCACCA